CCTGGGTTAGAGGCAGGAGAACACAGCCTGGGCCCACAGCGGCTGGCCAGGCCTTCAAAGCCACTCCTACAGTCACCGTGAAGGAGGCCTCCAGAGTCCACACGGGACCAGGTGAGTGACAGGAAGGGGAGGAGGGTACAGGGCAAAGAGCAGAGCCGAGGCCCATTCAGGGGAAGGAGACGAGGGAGGGGAGGCTGGAAGAAAACAGGAGCCACACGATGCAGGGTAAGGCTTCGCTGGGTCTGACTGGTCGCAGACCACAGTAGGAAGCCCCGATGTGACGGAAAATGAAAGGCAAACAGCAGATCGACAACTTGGAGGAACTGTGGAGAAGGAGAGGGTGTTTTAGTTGGGACATGTGTTCAGCTGAGGGAACAGAGACCCAAAGCTGCAGCAGCTTAAGCGAGAGAGAATTTCTTTCTCACCCAGGTGCCCAGGCACGAGCAGTCTAGGGCCGCTGTGGCCGCTCCTTGGTGGCCGGGCCTAGGCTCCTTCTGCCTAGCTCTCTTGCATTTCTTGACCCAGGTTTTATTTTCAACTTGCTTAATCTGGAACTATACTTAGCAGAACCTCTTTCTCAATATAGTTCCATGTGATATTTGGTTAAAAAGGAAGTGATGTGAACGGTGGTCCCCAACCTTCCCAGCACCGGGGAAGGCAACCCCTTCACAGACAGGAAGTGGAGGCGTAGTCCCAGGGTGACCCGAGCGACCGTGTCTAACCTGCACCCCCTTCCCATCACCACCACCTTGCAACATACAATGTAACAACCACACATAGGGTTTGGGCTCCCCTGGGAACCTGGGACCACCATGGACCCTACAGGAGGCAGGGCCGGCAGCGATGGGCCAACGGGGAGCAGCTGCAAACATGGCTGGCACCCTCACACGCTCACGTGCTGCTCACCCCGTTGTGCAGCCGGGAGTCGGGGGATGCCAACAGGCCATGAACCAGCAGTGGTCCATGGGCCTGGGGGTCAGGGCCTCTGGGCAAGAGGACTGGGAGGTGGAAGTGAGACATTATAGTGGCCATTATTCCCTGAAGGGGAGGTGTGGTGACAGACACTCAGGGGTGCTGGGGTGGGGTTCCAATGTGTCCTCACTCACCTCTGTCCCACAGTCAGCTCCTCTCCCCAAATTCTGGCCCTGCTGAGCATGGGACCCCAGACCCACCTCCAGAGCCTTGGTGCTACTGGAGAAGTAACTACGCAGCAATTAGAGCGTCCCACAGACTCTCGACGACGCCCCCTTCGCAGGAGCTGGGCAAGCTGTCGTCCATTTCCCAGCCAGCTCCACTGTGTCCACCGTGAGCAGTCAAGTTGGTTGGTGCTGACGCCTTTGCTCTGAAGTTTCCTCACTCTGGACTTTCACTTCCTCTGCTCCTCCTGCAGCTGCGAAATTCCTATAACCATCCCTCACGACTTCCGTGTAAATCGAACTGGTTCTTGGTTTTCACCACTGCTAGTTTAGGGTTTTTTGTTTTTTTTTTCTGATCAGTTTTCAACCATTCTTCTTGTTTCTAGCTTCTGGGTTTTTGTTCCTCTTGTCATTTCTCCTGTTCTCCATGCCTTTATGGATTTATGTTTTTTTTAAATTTTTTTTGGAGAGGGTTTTTTTTGCTATAGGGTGCGTGTGCTCGCCAGAGAGACAGAGACAGAGACAGAAGTGAGAAATCACCCCCCTGGGGGCATGGCCACGCCACAATCCCTCTCGGGACCTTGGGCACGCACGCACACGTGCCCGGTGTGAGTTTTAGCCAACAAGTCCAGGACTCGAACTGCGGTCAACTACATGGGAGTCCAGTGACATAGCCATTACGCTAACTGCTGGTCCCGATTTATGTATGTTTTTAAACATTTCTTTATTGTAAGTTTTTTTTTTCTTCCAATGCCAGAGAATATGTGCACGAGAGAGAGAGAGAGAGAGAGAGAGAGCGAAAGCACCCCCCCCACCCCATCCCCTGTAGGGCCAGGTCACACTGCAATCTTTTCTCCCTCCGGTTCTCCATCCTATCAGATACTGGGCATGTGTGTGAGCCTGGTATGTTTTTCAAGTCAACATGGCCAGGATTCAAACCCTGATCGACCCTGTGAGAGCTAATTTTCTCTGCACAGAGCCTAATAGCTCTGCTACATGGCCAGCTCCTCTTTATTGTACTGGACTGTCAGAAAAGTCATGAAGTATTTTTTCTATGTCATGACTTTTTCGACAACCCAGAAGGTTTTTTTTTTTAGCATTATTCATTTTAATCTTACTTATTATTATTATTCAATTTGACCAGAGAGAGACACAGAGAAAAAGCAAGCTGCCAGGTCTGGGACTCGAACTGCAGAAGACCATGTGGGAGAGGCCAGTGCCTTGTCCACCATGCCACCTACTGGTTTTAGTCAGGTTTCAGTGGGGAGGAAAATTAGATGTTTGTCCAGTCTACAATTTTTTTTCTTTATTGCCAGAGTGCCTGCCGGAGAAAGAGAAGGAGAAGCCGGTCCCTGATAGGAGATGATTATGCTGCAATCCCTTCTCCATTTCCAATCCTGTGGGGTTTTGGACACGGCGCGTGCATCCACACACACACACGTGCACACACACACACACACACACACACACACACACACACATTAACCACAAAACTGCACAATAAGAACAAACCAGCCCTAAGCTGCTTTCTGCCTAAACATCTCCTTTGCCACATCATTCTTGTCTTTTGCACTTACATAAATCTACACAAACAACCTATGGGTGTTTTTTCCCTTATCTCCTGGAGCACAGATAAGTTAAATGTGTGTTGAATGCAGTCTTTTTAAAAGGCTGAATCATTTTTAAAGACTCTCATCACATGTAAGTGGAATCAAAGTGCTAATTATGCAAACTTGAGGGTTGCTGGATACTCTAGGAGTTCCTTGTTTTCTCCAGAGGTGCCTTCTAAGTGAGCGTTGTACTAATGACAGGTGCAGGAGTCGTCGTTCTTGGAGACAGAAATTTATCTCTGAGCTACATCTTGGAAAACAGATGTCTCGAGCCTGGCCCCAGAACTGAAATGGTAACTGCTGAGTTTTATGCACATGAGTGCTTGCTGGATGAAAATCCTTCTAACTCTCTCAGGGTCCATAGTGCCCACCCACTTTGCATCTTTCTGTTAGGTCACTTCCCTCTGGCAACTAGATGCACAGTGGATGCCCAAAGGATAGCGACATACTGACCCCTTAGTGATCCTCCATCCGCGAATGACCCAGGGGAAACATCCGAGAACTTTGGATTATTGAGCCGGGTTGATGTAAAGATTGCTTTCACAGTGCTGTCTTTTTTGCCAACTGAAATATAGTAATTGGTTTTCTTTGCAAGAAAGCTCACTTGTCTTGGTTAGATAGGTGGAAAAAAACCAGCCCATGAGGAAGTTAAAAGTTACAAGGTCATATCAGTCTTAATTCAGCTCATCAAATACTATCAAGGGTCAGCTGTGTGCTCAGCTCTGTGCTAGTTACTACAGATAGAATGTTCTGTCTCGAGCTACATGACTGGACCAGTGCAGGGGCCATAATCTGGTTAAAAGCAGATGGTGGGAGCCTGTCTTGAAGCCCTGTTTGCATAATAAGCACAGTTTTCATTTTTTTAGAGAGAGAGATTTTTGCTATAGGGCACATGTGATTACTGGAGATACAGAGAAACAGAGAGACAGAAAGCGAGAAATCACCCCCTGGGAATGGCCATACTGCAACCCCTTCTCTTCTTGGGATTTTAGGCACGCACGCACAAATGCCTGGTGCGAGTTTTGAGCTACCAGGTCCAGTACTCGAACTGTGGTCAACTACGTGGGAGTACAGTAATGTAACCATTATGCCATCTGCTGGTCCGAAGTTATTATGCAGACTCTACATTTGAGGTGGTTCTGGGGAGCTGGTGGAAGTTTTGCAGAGGGCTCTTTTTTTTTTTTTAATTTTTTTATTTTTAATGTTAGAGGGCATGTGTGCGAGAGACAGAGGGGAAGAGAAGAAAAACCCCTTCCCAATGGGGGCTGGTCACACTGCAATCCTCTTTCCTCCAGTTCTTTATCCCATTGTGATTCTGGCACACATGGACACACCTGGCATGTTTCTCAAGCCACCTGGGCTGGGACTTGAACCCTGGTCAGGCATGTGGGATCCAGCTTTCTATGTGCAGCACTTAACTGTTATACTAGGAGACCAGCCCATACCACCTCTTCTTGCAGCTTCTGGAGCTGAGAGGGGCAGTCCCTTTTCTCAGAAAGTAGCAAATCCAGGTCATCTCAACAGGTGGTTGTGAATGAGGCTGAAGAATAAAGAGAGGGCTCTGCAGCTCAGAGGGGGCCTGCTTAGCCCGAGAGGACTGGAGGGCTTCCTGTGGGTGGAGATGCCGGGAACAAGATCTGTCACCACGTTTTCTGGACCCCAGAGTCAGGACAAATGATGTGAAAAGTATTTGTTTTCTCATTTACCCATTTATTTTCATTAAACCTCCTAGTGGCCCAGCTTTGGTAGTGTGTGCTGTTAAAACTGTGCAGGCTGGGACCACCTGGGAGGTTCAGGTTTGATTCCTGCACACTGGCATGCACCTGCAGTTCCAGCAGTCTGGGAGGCTGAGGCAGAAGGATTGTGAGCTTGAGGCTGGCCTGGGCAGCATAGCAAGACTGTCTAAAAAATTGCTGGGCTTAGCGGCATGTGCCTACAGTCCCAGCCCAGAGAGGCCAAGGCCAGAGGACTCCAACGTGGGGACAATTTGTCTTAAAAATAAAAGTCTCCTAGGGGTAGAATAATAAAATCACATTTAGTTATTCATGTAAAATATTACTTTTATTAAAAATAATACAATTTGGAGGTCAGCAGGTGGCATAGTAGTTAAGGTGCTGGACTTCCACATGGGCAACTGTGGTTCAAGTCCTGGACCCAGCAGCTTGAAAATCAAGCCAGGTGAACGTGCATGCGTGCCCCAAATCCCAGGAGATAAATGGAGGAGAAAGGATTATGGCATGGCCATCCCCCTGAGAAGTGATTTCTCACTTTCCCTCTTTCTGTGTCTCTCTGGCGAGTTCATACACCCTATGGCTAAAACCTAAAAAAAAGAAATTAATTAAAAAAAAACAAAGAATAATGCAAT